GTTTTCTGTGAATTAGTAGGCTCATTTTTTTTTCTCAAACCATGCTGAAGAAACACTGGGAGTAGCTAGATTTTAGTGGCATGATTAGATTTCAGTTTCACTTCTGGAAGAATTATTCTTAGCTGATGTTTCATATTTCAACCAAGTGGTGTCTGGTTAAATTTCTTTTTCTGATGTTAGCAGCCACTGAGGATCAATGCCCCTATCCATTAATTTATTAGGGATTAAAGAGTGGCTATCTTTTAATTCTATTATACTTTCTTCATTTGTTGGCTAGACTAAAAAGAAACTTACTCTCCTTCACTGTTCACTTACCCTCAGGTATAGTTTGTGTAGGAAATGCAGAATAAATGGTTGATTCTTTACCAGATTTCAGAGTAATGAGTTCACTAATTAATATCCATCAAAGGTGTCTAATGAAGGGTTTTTTTTGTTTGTTTTTGTTTTTTTTTTAGTATCATTTTGACTTCCTGGATTTAAATTTACCTAATGTATTTCAACCCATTGCAGTGGGGTTGTTTTAGTGATTTTTAAAATTTTCTCATCCATTGCAATGGGAGACTCTTTAAGTTGGCTTATGAATGCTTTTGATACTATTCTGATAGCTTCCTTGTTTTGTGGTATTACAAGATATTACAAATGCATCTTATACATTTCCTGTCTTAGAACTTGAATTTGACATTTTTCTTAGGGGCTCTGGTTTCTTTTATGGATAAATAATATTTAGATATTTAGAGTATGTCAGATGGGTGCATTGCTAATAGACAGGTTATTTTAACGGGTTTTCTTCCATGTGGTTGATAAAAGTACTGACTGCCTGATACCAGAATCAGTATATTTGTGAGCTACATTTCTCTGTAAATTGGTGAAAGAAAGAAAGAAAGAAAGAAAGAAAGAAAGAAAGAAAGAAAGAAAGAAAGAAAGAAAGAAAACAATACATGCAAATAAGTCTTCTGTATTTTCTTCTGAGGTCTGATTGAAATATAATTATTGTAAAGTGGAAAAGAAAAGGTCTAAGGCCTGGGAACTTCTGTGTGATAGTAAATTATTTTACTGCTCTGAGTCATATATAATTTCTACCTCAAAATAGAGATAATATTATCTATCACAGCTTTTATGAGGACCAATATCAAAGTACTTGGTAATAATGGCTAAAATTTGCTAGGGTTTTTTTATGTGCCAGGTTTTGCTGTGTTAACTAGTAGATATCATTAAATCTGTATAAAAGGACAAAAGACACCACTATTATCTCCCTTTTATAAGGAAGAACACCAAAGATTAGAGTGACTGAGTATATTGCTACTTCCATAAAGGGAGGTTAATATGATCCTAAGAAGCTGAGGTCATCAAGCAGTTTAGGAGGTGGATTTCCTATCCAGGAGAAGGAAAGCAAATTAAATCCACAGATAATCTACAGCTGGAAGATGTGCAGATTCACTGAACATAAACTGGAGTAGCAGCCCAAATCAAGAGAAATTAAAAATGCATTAAATTCACAGTAAAAAGCAGAATAAACATATTTGAATTCAGTTATAAGAGGAAGACAAAGTTATCGTAGAAAGAAAACTCAGCAACTGGGATTCCAGATTGGCCTTTTAACAAGCTAGCTGTTTGAATTTGCCAAGTGGTTTATTCACTCCAGGCCTTAACTCTTCACAGGTGAGTTAGACTGTGTGCTTTCATAGGCTAATACGCTAAGATTAAAATAGAACAGTAATGGTTGGGAATGACTTTGCAATAACTCACTATTAGTGTGCAGAGTAGAAAACAAAAACAAATTTAACATATTTATACGTGCCACTGTTTCAGGTTTCTAAATTATTCATTGATTCCTCCATTTAACAATACTTGCTGAACATCTACTATGTGCCAGGCATTGTAGAAAGTAGTGTTCTAGCAGTGAACAAAGTGAAGTGCTTGTTTTCCTGGTTTACATTCTTTTGAAGGAAGACAGAACATAAACAAATATATAATATATACTATGTCAGATGACATAGGTGATAAGTGCTACAGACCAAAGAATAAACAAGGGAAGTTGATGGTGAAGGGAAATATTCCAGCACCAGTTCCTCTTTGCTGTTCCTTGAATACACCAGGCCCAATACCACATTTGCACCAGCTGATTCACCCGCCTGGAACACCCTTCCCCAAACATCCTCATGGCTACCTCTCCCTTTCTGCTTTCAAATTTTCATTCAAATAACACCTGCTGGATGAGGGGTAATGAAGTGAGCTGTCCCTGGGTCAGATTGGCTGAGACCCAAAATCAGCAGAACTGGAGCCCATTGCTTGTGCCCACGTCCACAATTAGCAGGACGTGGCTTGTTGACCAGCTGAAGGAACTGTTTCTCCAGGCAAATGGCCAAGGACCTGCTGTCTCGCATGGGAGCCAACGTTGTCTGGCATCCTGCACCCAGTGCCAGGCACTGCAAGACGGCCAAGGACTTGTGGTCTCGCACTCAAGCCGAGATTTTTTATTATCTGAAAGCAGTGACAGACATCAAAAGATGGCCATGTCTTATAGAAGGCCACACTTTTTTGCTTTGACTTGGAAAAGCAGGTGTTGTTGGCCGTGGAAAGTCACATACCAAAAAGTAGCTGGGAAAGTAGCTGGCATGAGAAAATAGCTGCAGGATGCTTGCCCAGTTAAACTGTATATAAATAAAACGACTGGCACATTACTGTGCTGCAGTCTGAAACCGTCTCTTGTCTCTGTGTACTTTATTCTTCTGGGACTGCAGCCAATTCTGTCTGTCTGCGTCTTATGTATGTGTTCTGTGTGTCACCCCCTGTCCTGTAATCAGGCCATGACAGGCTAACACATGAAAAATCCCACCCTCCCCCACTCTATTTTCTTTCCCATAAATCTTATCCTCTTCTAATGTATGATATCAATTGCTTATTTGTGTGTTTAATAACTGTCTACCCCAGCTAAAATGTTAGTTCCAAGAAGTCAGGACTCTTTGTTTTGTTCAAGGATGTATTCCAAAGCCTCTACAGTTCCTGATAACAAGTAATGCTGAAGAAATTGACTAATAAACAAATTGATCAATGAGTGAATGAATGAATTAGGAGGGTGATCTGCAAGGTCTTCTCTTTTGAGGTGACTAAATATTAATAGTAAAAGCTTGACATTCAAAATCAAAATGTAAGGAAAATTGTTAATTGAATTGTGTTACATCCAGTTGATAAACTATAATATGATCTTAAAAATGTTTTTAAATAATCTCTATGAGGATTATGAAATAACATGAAAACCACTATCATATATAGTTAAGTCAAAAATGCAGGGTGCAAAAGTATTCATATATTATTATTACAATCATGTAAATAATTCTTTACAAGAAATGCTAGAAAAAATGCACCGAAAGTTACCAGTGTATGTTATAATGATTATCGGTGATTTCTTTTACTAATTTTCTATTTTACAAATCTTCTATAATGTGATTATGTCATCTTTAATATGAAAGTAAATTTAATTTTTTAAAAAGTTAATCTATGTAATGCTACCTGTCATTCATGGTATAATAAACGTTTTTTGCTTTATTTAATTTGTATTTTACATTTGTAAATTAGGACTTAATCATGTCAAGAACTTCTAATTATCAGAGACCCAGAACTGAAAAGAGCAGACGTGTATTGCAAATGTTTCACAGAAAAAAAGAGGTGGAGGAGGTTGAATCAACTATCATTCCTATTATAACAACATGATAACTATCTTGAGTTTACCTTCTAAGAAGGTTGTCTCCAGGAGAAGGAAATCCTATCAACTGAACATGACTCGAAAGAATGATACAATGCATAAGTGATATAAAATAGAACATAGCATCAGGAAGAGGAAATTGCCCAAGACCCTGTTTTATCTTGAGCTTTTCCACTACTTGAGTGATCAAGCATTGCTGGTTGAGGATCAGCAACATGTACTAATAGTCAAAGTATGCAAGGCTTTGTTATTGTTATTCCATGTACTCAAAATAAGTCACTGAGGTAGGGTTACATTACCAACTTACAGATGACAAAATGGGGACTATAAATAAGTTGCCCAGGGTCACACAACTAAATGGTAGTAAAACCATGATTCAAATTAGATTCAAAATGATTCTAAATCCGCTACTCAAAACTAATAAGTGGGGAGGTAAAAATAACTAACATTTCTCATAGGACCCCTTTTCAATAGCACTTCTAGGTCCCTTAAATGTTATTTATTAAATCTTTTTATAAACAACAATTTTTGCTTGCAAAAGTCACTAACTGCGTTTTTATTAACAAGGCTCCAGCTTCTGGATCTATACCAGTGACAGCTTAGGCAAGCATGGAAATTATCCCAAAACCTTTCACAGTATTCAGGCTGCCAGGGTCTGTGAGGGAAGGACTCATAGTGGGTGAGAGAGGTGCCGCATCAGAACAGATGCCTGTGCAATGATTTGGGAACAGCCCCCTTTGCCTCAGCCCCTGGCCTCTCATGAGAAGTCACACCAGGGATGGTTCTGTACTCAATGAGTCCAGATGAAAAGCAGAAGCCTCGTGTGAACCTGAGGCTGGAACAGAAACTCTGCTTTTGGTCCTCTTTGGTGGACCGGTTGACCAGGTCATGCCCTGAGGTGACTCTTCCGTAGAATCAGACAATTACTCAGTAATCTTTCCTTAAATAAATTGCTAGCTGGAAAAGTGGTCTTTGAAATCAATAATTTAATATTCATATGTACATTTTCATGTATGTGCACTCTTACAAAGATTAAAATATACCACATTAGTTTAAATCCAACTTAAACATTTCAGTAAGGGAGAAGAGTATATTGATTTTATTACTGGATCTGGTTTCTTAGCCAAACTGGAAGCAAATAACGGGTTTCTGTTTATGTTGAGTGACATTAATAATGTCCACTTGTAGTACATCTCAGTGGAATTCATGAGAGAAAAAATAATCATGAGTTTCATCTCTTTCCTAGGTGAATATTCTAGAGGCCACACACTTCCCTTTAAACACAGTTATCCCACAACTAAATGTTCCCATATCCTGCTAAAACCAACAGACATAGTGTTATTAGTGAGCCAGAAAAAGGGGAAACCCCAGAGCAGCCATCTGCCGGCTTCATTTCTCTGCAGTCAGCTCCTTCGTATCCCTGATAACAATGACAGGAAAATTTCTCCGCCATCTCTGCCAGGTCTGTGTCAGATGTTTTTCCTTTCACAGTAAATTCCCCATTCTCAGAGGCCTCTATGTGGTAACTTGCAGGGTTCAAGTGAAGGTAATCAGGAGCTTTCCACATCTTCCTTATGCACCTCCCATTATTCCTGCAGAGGTGACGGCTGCACGCCTCAGCAGCTCTGGTCACGTTGACTATGTAGCTCCCTAAATCAGAACTCACAAACTGCTTCACCTTTGTACAGTTACCCTAGAAATGTAGAAAAAAAAAAAGAATTTTAGTTTCTTCTGGTACTGATCGGATTAGAGCTTACAGGCCCACAAGGTAGCTCTTTGGACTTGATTGAACTCTAATGGCTTGGTTCCAGTTGGTGAACTCTTAGGCTCCCAGGCAGTATAACAGAGGGGTCCCAGATCAGAAAGGGCACAGGTCTAAGGGGCAAGATATGGAGAATATGTTATAGTGCAACCGAACTTACAAATGGGCCCCAGAATCAACATATGAGACCTTGCCTTCTACCAACTTACAACATCGCCCCCACCTTTTAACTCCCAAATTAATGAACATGAAAAGGAGACGAACAAACCCAAATTAAAAATCATGCCACAGCTGCTGTCCTCAGGCCACCTTGTATGTTGTGCCATTCATGGTGGTGTTAGAACTTGAATCATCATCTTTTACCATTTATTGTTGAACATCAACCTGTAACTTTCTGGATTATTCTGCTAATTATGCTCAAATATCAACTGTCCTGGGTCCTACACTTCTGTATACAATTCAAACACAAAAATAAAGCCTATGAGGGATTAGGTAATTTGTGTGTGTGTGATTCTTATTATGTGTTCCAAATAGAGGCCACCTGGGTTGTGCACCCAACTTCCTGATGAAGCTATTCTCGCCAGCCACATAGGGAGCATAGTGGAAATATCACACCTGGAAAGTCAGAAATTGATCCCCTCAGTTTCTACCTAATTGTCATAGGTGGACCTAGTCATAAATAGTTTCATGAGTGATATCTCAGTAGCAACAAATTGAGCCTGTGAAATTCTAAGAATAATATCAAATCATCATGGACTTGCAAAAAATTCAATTTGACAAAAAATGTTGAGGGTACCAGTTTTATAATTCAAGCCAAAATGTGTTACACTATAGAGACATAAATGACATCTGGAAATGTGGAAGAGATTGTGATTAATGTGGATTGGGGAAAACTAGGAAGATTTCTTGGAGTAAATATCTCAGCTGGGAGAAATTTGAAGAGACATATAAATCCTATTTTAAATGCTTTTAATTTTCAGCTAATTTCTCTGTTGAGAAAAATATAACTTCAGCATGGAGATTAAAAAGTTACCACCTAGGCTGGGCGTGGTGCCTCACGCCTTTAATCCTAGCACTCTGGGAGGCCAAGGTGGGCAGATTGCTCAATGTCAGGAGTTCGAAGCCAGCCTGAGCAAGAGCGAGACCCCGTCTCTACTATAAATAGAAAGAAATTAATTGGCCAACTGATATATATATAAAAAATTAGCCGGGCATGGTGGCGCATGCCTGTAGTCCCAGCTACTCGGGAGGCTGAGGCAGCAGAATTGCTCGAGCCCAGGAATTTGAGGTTGCTGTGAGCTAGGCTGATGCCACTCTAGCCTGGGCAACAAAGCAAGACTCTGTCTCAAAAAAAAAAAAAAAAAAAAGTTACCACCTGTTTCTACTTCTCAAGGTAGACTATAACATGTTTTATGTAGTGGTTAAATGCAAAGGCTCCAGTGTCAAACTGTCTATGGCAAATGTCAGCTCTTCCACTAACTAGCTGTTACCCTAGTTAGGTTTCATCTCTTATTTCCTCATCTATAAATGAAGATGATAGTCACTGCCTCATGGCAACAGTAAGTGAGCACATGCTAAAGAAAAAATCTATTAGCACAGTCTCAGCACATAGTAAATACTCAACAAATGTGGTGTTATAATAACTATCTTTATAAAAGTTAACAATGTTTATTGAGCCCTTTCTGTGTATCAGGCACTAATTTGAACTTTTAGTCTAAAGCTGGTTTACCATGGGGACCATGACAGCTTTGATTAGAGTGAGTTCTACAAGAAAACAGAGTAAGTACTTTAAAAAAAAAACATTAATAATACCTTCAAGGTACTGACTTACCTCAGATGAAGTTAAATTCATGTCTCCCCAAATAACAATGCCTGCGGCACCCAAGGCAGCACTTTCTCCTATGGTACTGACTAGATCTTGCTAGATGGAAGAGAGTGGAGTACATTGTTAATTTGAATGTAAAACAACTCACCAGGGATTAGAATTAGAGGCTGAGTTCAGTATAATAGGGCTGGAACTGAGCTCAGATACTCCATCGAGACTATTCTTCACTTTTTTAGAGTAACATGCATGTTGCACGAACCAATGCTTAAAATCATACTCTGTAATCATATGCAAAAAACATAAATATTTTTGAAGAACAATTTATATTTTGCCATGGAGGATATTGTTAGGTTTATGCAAAAGTAATTGTGGTTTTAGGATTATTAAAATTTGCCATTTGATATTGGAACATATTCTTAAATAAATGTGGTTATGTTATACATAATTTTAATGTACATTTCTTGCTTTATGTTTTTTTGCTAATTATTACTTGCTGTTTGCTTTATATTTATTTTACACTATGGAAATGATGTTAGACAAAAAGCAAATTTGAGCAATTTTCTTACTCGAGTTCAAAATGGGTCATAAAGCAGCAGAGACAACTTGTGACATCAACAACACATTTGGTCCAGGAACTGCTAATGAACCTACAGTCCAGTGGTGGATCAAGAGGTTTTGCAAAGGACACAAGAGCCTTGATGAGGATGTACAGTGGATGAGGAGTACAGTGGCCGGCCATCGGAAGTTGACAATGACCAATTCCAAGCACTCATCGAAGCTGATCCTCAGAACTACATGAGAAGTTGCCAAAGAACTCAAGATCAGCCATTCTATGGTCATTCAGCATTTGGAGCAAATTGGAAGGTGAAAAAGGTCGATAAGTGGGTGCCTCATGAGCTGACCGAAAATCAAAAAAATATCGTCATTTTGAAGTATCATCTTCTCTTCTTGTACGTAACAAAAATGAACCATTTCTTGATTGGACTGTGAGGTGCGATAAAAAATGGATTTTATATGACAACCAGCAACAGCCAGGTCAGTGGTTGGACTGAAAAGAAGCTCCAAAACATTTCCCAAAGCCAAACTTGCACCAAAAAAAGGTCATTGTCACTGGTGGTCTGCTTCCGGTCTGATCCAATACAGCAATCCCTGTGTAACCATTACATCTGAGAAATATGCTCAGGAAATCAATGAGATGCACCAAAAACTGCAACACCTGCATAGGTCAACAGAAAGGGCCCAATTCTTCTCCACGACAATGCCTGACTGCACGTCGCACAACCAAAGCTTCAAAGGTTGAATGAATTGGGCTATGAAGTTTTGCCTCATCTGCCATATTTACCTGACCTCTCACCAACTGACTACCACTTCCTCAAGCACCTCAACAACTTTTTGCAGGAAAAATGCTTCCACAACCAGCAGGATGCAGAAAATGCTTTCAAAAAGTTTGTCGAATCCCGAAGCATGGATTTTTATGCTACAAGAATAAACGAACTTATTTCTAATTGGCAAGAATGTGTTGATTGTAATCGTTCCTATTTTGATTAACAAAGATGTGTTTCAGCCTAGTTATAATGATTTAAAATTCACGGTCTGAAGCCACAATTACTTTTGCACCAATCTAATATTTTTGAAGACAATGAGCCTGTAAATAGTGATCAATTGTTTAATTAAAATTGATTAGGGGCATATACCTAGAAACTACTTCATATATATATATGATCCAAAAACAGAATCCAAAAGTTTTCCTGCTTCAAATGCAATCCTCTTGACCAGGTTCCTTTTTCATTTTACAACATGTCCCTGTGGAACTTCACCTGTGCAGTGACGTGGATGGTTTTGTGCATTTTGATTCCAAGGCCTGGCAAAGAAACAGTGTTAAGGAAGGGCTTGCAGGCCCTGATTTGGCCCAGCCTTTATATTTGTTTTCTAACATAACCTGTGTTTAATTTCAAAGTACCTGATTTAATGAGCTTCATTTATGACTCATCCACCCATGATAAAGCCACTGAGATTTTCCTCAATATGATTAAGATATGTGAAAGCAAGATTTCAGCAGTGGAAATTTTGGTTTTGTAACCTTAAAGGATTATTGTTTTAGTGTTTAAAGATTAACAAGGATAGAGACTGTTTCATGAGGAAATTAAGAGTTGAATGTAGGTAGTTGGTTTCCTAGTTTTTTAAATTATAATACATTCTGCTACTCCAAGGTTGAATTTTCACCAGGGACATGCTGGAAAATGTAATTGGGTGATTTGGTAGAATAAAAAAGCAGAACTTTAAACTGTATTTTTCCTTGGATAATTTATATCAGTAATGATATTTGAGAGATAAATCTCCTTCTCTGACACTTTTATAGTCTAATTCTCAAAAGTTTTACAAGTTGAGTTTTTAAGTTTTCTTGCGGGGGGGGGCAATTTTCTGGTAACTTTCATAAAACAAAAGAGATTTTGGATTTAACTAATTTATCTTTCAGATTCACATCCATTTTCATTCCCTATGACCACGGTATCTGTCATACAGGTCAGAGCTGACATGACAGGAATGTGCGGAGGTTTTGTGAGGCTCAGATAAGCTAATGTAAATGAAAGAACAGTGAAAATTATCAAAGGTGTGATTAATAGGGACAGAGGAGGAGCCGTCCATGCAGCACCCAGACTGCAGACTCTGTGGGGTCCATGTCTGTTGCCTCTTTGGGGAGCAGAATTTCTCACTCCGTTTACTTCAAAACTTTTCTGAATCCAGACACGTGATATTCACATGGTGTGATCAGAGAGGCAGAAATCCCCAACAGCCTTCCTTTGGGTTAAGGCATTGCCATCGAAGGAGGAGGGGACACAGTATTTACAGTTTGTGTTTATAGGTTATTCCTACACATTCAGTAAGTATGAAAGCTACAGATGTTTGTGGTAAAAGCCACACCTTGTGAGGCTGGTATTAGTTTCTTCCAAATCAGTTCTCAAATTAGTTTCTCACCAAATTAGTTCACTGTCACCAGCAGAGAGTAGGGTCCTGAATAAATCACAAAGCAGCTGTGCTTGGGGAATTAGAAAAGCAAGGCCATTCATTACCCAGTAAGGGAAGTCACAGAAAAGATGCCTCTAGGAGTGGATTGGGACCACCTGAGATCATAAGCCACAAAGATGGTGTCACATGAAAGGAGAAATAAAAGAACAAAGCAGACGTAGTGAAAATGAACCTCCCAGGTCCCAGTGTGGTGTAGGGCTGCCTTGCCTGTACCCATGATGCTCAGGCTCGAATTAAGGTTTCAGAGGCAGAGGGTGGGGTGACCAGAGGACTCAGTCTCCACACGTGGGTTCAGTGCCTGGGCTTACCAGAGTGCATGTCAGCAAGGCGCCCACTGTGGGGAGCTGGAGCATTACTAATGAGCTCCCTTTGTGCATTACCAGAGAGAGCTTTAATCAATTGCAGGAGTAAACATCTTTAAATCCATAATCAGGAAAACTCCTTACATTGTTTTTTAAAGGCACAGCATAAGGTTATATATATATATATATATGCATATACATATATGCATATATACATATTCATATATGTATATGAATATATATATATATATATGCAGGTAGTGTAGGCATCTTATGTATGACATGAGATTTTAAGTTTAAGGGTTTGGTATCTGTAAAAACTGACAGCCACATCACACATATTTCTGTAGTGCTTTAAATTGTCATATGCATTTTCTCATTTGATTCCCATAATACTTCTGCTAGGTGAGTAGGGCAGGTAATACTGTCCCATTTTGTACATTAAGACACTGAAGCACTGAGGTCCAGGGAGGTTAAGAGATTTGCTACTTACTGGCAAATGCTATTTCTAATCTTAACTGTATGTGTGTGTGTATGCTAAAATGCAGACATTGCTGAGAAAATAACAAATGGAAGCCATTAGTAGTCATTTAGGGTACAATGGTGGGTACATTGATGGTTTAAAACACTTGAGAATAGCTTGCCATTCAGAAAGGAAAAGGGTGCAGAATGGGATGAGACCCAAACTGTTGTTCCTTTTTTCCTGAGAAAAAAGAGAAGTCTTTCTGAGGCGATAGCCACTTGAGAAAGAAGCTTATCCCAAGTTTACAGAATATGCAGAATGTACTCATAATCTAAATTAATCTTTTGAAATGATTATGTTGTCCCTTAAAGTTTATAGTTTCTGCCTGGATATAGTGGCTCATGCCTGTAATCTTAACATTTTGGGTGGCTGAGGCAGGAGGATCCCTTGAGCCCAGGAGTTGGAGACCAGACTGATTAGCATAGCAAGACCTGTATCTACAAAAATATTTTAAAATTATCCTGGCATGGTGGTACGTGCCTATAGTCCTAGCTACTCAGGAGGCTGAGGTGGGAGGATTGTTTAAGCTTAGGAGTGCAAGTTTGCAGTGAGCTATGATCGCACCACTGCAGTCCAGGGAAACAGAGCAAGACTTATCTCAAATTAAAAAAGAAAAAAAAAAGTTTGTTTCTTCCAAAAATATATTTATTATCACTAAAGAAAGAAAAATATTTCGTCAAATGTAGAAAAAAAAAGTTTTACAAAATAAGGCGGTGTTTAACTTTCAATGCTAGAGTCAAGATTATTTTGTAAATATTTAGATGACTTTTTTAAACCTTTCACATAGTATTGATTTCCTGTCATTCTTCATTCAACTATTTATCACTGATTTTTCTGGGTAGTACAAATATCAATTCACAATAAAGACTTTTTTCCTGTCTCATCTCATGAATGGTGTTGGAGCAGATACCATACTTCCTACATATACGCCATTTCTCCCTCTTATGAATACACTCTACTCTGTGTATGTTCCACAGATACTACTGGTCAGGGTAGAGCCCTCCTTCCTAAGGCTCCTAATTAGCATGCCTTACACTCAGAATGTCTTTTTATTTTAACATATGCTGATGAATTGAAGTTTGTAATGGTGGAGAAGAAGCAATGCCTCCATTGAAGTACATTAAGCCCCTGGTATCTAGTAATATCTTAAAACACCACTGCATCATAAATGTGAAAGCCAGAACAAGCCTCCAGTCTTATCCATGTAGAAAGTTTACACATAATTACCCACATCCAAAGGTTAGAGTACCAACTGCTTTCCCTGGAAGTATCCATTTAAGTGGCTAGACTAGCATAGAGAGAAGGGAGAGAAAATCTGGGTGAAAGGTTACCTATTTAAAAAGTTACACTCATGGTTTGTATATATGCTTTGGCAGCATATATGGCTTGAGTAAAAATAATCATACATAATAAAACTTCTATCTCTAAATTTTAACCTAGGGATATGAAACCATCTACTCATGACATAAGTATTGAATTTAGAAACTTACACCTCCCTTGTCCACTTGCCATTAGTTGTGCTCATAGAGGCAATAATAACCCAGATGGTTAAATCTATAGACTCATCTACTTTTAACAGTTTTGCAAACTCTCTCATATCTTTTTAGAATTTTTTAAAATATTTTTAATTGTCATAAAAAACACATAACCTAAAATTTATCATTTTAGTCATTTTTAAGCATACAGTTCAATACCGTTAAGTATATTCACATTGTTTTACCTTCCTTATACCTTTTTTTGAAGCTGGTAATATGCAATTTTTCTTGACATTTGAGATGGTGAGGCCAAAAAGAAATATTGCCAATTTACTTCCGTGTATATGAGCAAATGACTCCATTTTAAAACAAGCTTTCTGATTTTCTAACATGCTCACTGCCAGTCATTTCAATAGCCTTCAAAATGTACAATTTTAAGGAAGTACAATCAAAGTTGGGGGGCAGGAAGTATAGTAGTTGCTGGTATTTCACTTTGACTCCTTCCTGCCTTACTTTGTTCCTTAAAAGAATAATAATAAAATAAGATAATCAAAATTTAGTCTGCATAAATGAAGAGTTTAAGTGGTTGACTACTCAAGGAAGAATTATGTTCCTAGCTAACAGACAATTAATTGGAATCAATTCGTCAAAAAGCATAATTAATCAAGATACGTCTCTTTTAGAAATACGGAGGAAATCCCCCACCATTGGTCAAGTAGCTTCTTACCTTAGAAAGAAAAAATAAAGGCTCATCTCTGTACCCCAGCCTTGTGTAGACAAACACAGGCAGAGCATAATCATGGCATGTCATGGTGGAGATCCTCATAGATTCGTGCACCCGAAATTGTGAGAAGCGCAAAATGTTTTCACTGTCTCCAAGGAATTTCCTGACGCCAATAGAAGGATATAAAGCAGCACTGCTATTCCAGAGCCAAGAGAGCTCATTGTTCCTCAAAACTTCCTCTTCTGGGCATGACCCAGTATAGTTTGGTGCATAAATATTATAATTGTGGCAATCGGGATATAAATAATAACCCCAAAGGCCCTTGGGTCGGCTCTTAATTCCCAATTTGATGGTTTCCTTCATGAAAGCTTTTGCACTTTCTTCAAACGTTGCTTTGGCTAAATATTCGATATCAGTAGCTGATCCATTCCTTTGCATATCAGAAATAAGCTTTCTTGACTTCTGTCTGTAGACATCTTTTGTATTCCAGTTTCGGGCCCACTGTGGTCGCCAGTATTCCCAGTCTATAACAGCAAGTCCACTGAAATCTTCTGCAGGGATGTAGTAATTAATGTCTTGGTCAGCTTTTTCCAGATGTACTTGCAAACTTATGTTCTGGGGAAGACCCCCATTAATGGGGACCCCCTCTGATGTATACCAAGGATAGTATCCCAATCTATTGACATAAAATATAGTGACATTTTGCCCCCTAGCTTTGGCCAGTGGACTTCCAATCACCTGAAACATTTTCAAATTCAGTCTTAAGTTATATTTTATCAAACACTGATCTGTTGGAGCATTCCAAGCAGCTATAAAGGGTTTCCTTTGATAAATTGGAAGTCGGGCAGGTTTTAGAGAAGACATAGATTTCAGAATAAAAAAGATAAAGAGCCATGATGTGAGATGTACTGGTTGAACAACACAAAGCTTTAATTGTCCTTCAGATAATAGTTTCATGATAAGATGAAAATCCTATGTTATCTTCTGCTTTGATGCACTTTGGAAAACCTGTGAGGAGATTTAATTTTCTATTAGTGATAATTTTGAGGAAAAAGACTCAACTATTGAATGATTATTATTATTATTATACATTTATATTTTCTAAGTGCATTTTACTTAAAGTCTTACAGAGAACTATAAATAAGTTGAGATATAGAAGCAAGTATAGTGACCTCACTTCTATTCAGGGGCCGACAATGCAATTCAACAAACATTCATAGAGTATCAGACATAGTACCCTGTGTCTAGAAAACGAAATGAATAAGTTATGGTTTTTGCCTTCATGGAACCCATGATCAATAAAGATGTAAAACAATATTCACTATCATTTTGGAAAACTCATCAAATCCCAGGCATTATGCTTATGTGCTTTATAAATACATATCTTATTTAATCTTACAATAACTCTATAAGGCTTATAATTACATCTCCATTCTACCAATGAGGAAACTGAGGCTTAGAGAGATGAAGAGGCTAACCTGATCATCGTCACATTACGTGGAAGGCAAGGCAATGTAAAATTGTAATAATAAAAATGCATAACAAGTGCCACATGATAATTTACTGGAGCAATTACTTCTTGTGGGGGTAGGAAGTAGGTAGGAAGCAAAAGTGATTCAGTGGCAAATAATGTCTCAGAGAAGACACACAAGTTGAGCCTGGAATATAGGTAGGCGCTTGAACGGTAGGAGAGGGAAGAAGACAGCAACTACTTTGTCAAGTTTCCTTTTTAGTCATCTTTTTGTAAAACGACTACCAAATAATTATTTTTCAAAGAGCTCATCAAAGGGCTTGATGGCATAAAGCCTTTACAATCTCCTGTATTATTAAGATGAAAGTTATGCATTATGGTTATGCCTAATGCCTAGTGAGGTTAGGGTCTATAGTTGACATTTGTCCTTTAGCTGAGGGCCCAGGATATGGACCCCTTTCCTCTGGAGTAAATTCTGCACCGTATGTTTCTGCATGGGAGACATTAAATAAGCCACAATGTCCAGATGCTTTCCCAGCCTTCCTTGCAGTTTGGGTGCTGGTATATGACCATGGTCAGGCCAATTAGATGTGTCCTATGCCAGACTTTGAATTGGGGTCTTGAGATTCAAACAGGTGACAGGGTCCAGGAGCAGCAGGCCTGTGGGGGCATCCAGACCCTGATGTCCATGGTGTTACTATTAAGTGGCAACATGGTTTTCATGGGACAGCACTTTTCTGCTCAGGTAAGGGAGGTTTTGATTCAGTTGCTTACAGCCAGGAACTCTGATGGATAAGAGGCTGTTTACTCGGAACCTGAGCGTTTGAGCGTTTCCTCCAGCAAAGCCTTGGTGTGTGCTGCCTGTTGTATGTCATTATCATTTTCAACCACCAGGTGTCCCCAGCCAAACCTCATAGCATTTCTCAGGCCTAGGACACTGAGGTAAATACAAATTTTGATTAATTTATGAAATTCTATTCAAAGACATTTAAGAAGCCCTGAGTAAATAGATATACACAAAATATCAGTTTTTAAGAGCTATAGATATTTTCATCCATTGAAAAAATCTCTACTCCCCCACACCACAAAGATGAATAAGAAAGTCATAACATGTAACCAAAATGTCTGTACCCCCATAATATCCTGAAATAAAAAAAAATAATAAAATTTAAAAAATAAAGATTAACTCACTTAGTAGCATGATATATTATGCTGAAAGTCTAAATTACAGATTGGAGAGAACAGTATTTTCAAGGGAATCTAATTATATGAGTATGAAAAGAATTGTGGTACTCAAGAATGCCCTTTCTGTTTGGTTTTTTTATTATATACCCTGCCCCAGAGTAAGAATAATGGATTTGTATAAGAAGTCATTAATGGGGGGGGATTATCTTTATCTTTATGACTACAATTCTTGTCAGAGAAGACTATACGTATGTACTAAAATAATCTCCTCTGCTGGAACACATCCTGCTTTTGGTTTTATTCAAAACATAGTTTTCAACTGACTATTGTTTCCTCCTTGATCAGCCCCCTCCTCACTGCCACAGGACTGTCCTCATTCATTTATTACAAAGTTACCAAGTGACTCTCCTCTTCTACCCTGGAATGTTACTATTCTCCTTATTCCAAGAACTGAAGGTGCCTGTTAAATGGCAGTTGGCAGGCATAGCTCCTGATAAAATATGTGTGTACAGAATTAAGACAGGCAAAAAAAATCAAGAAGTGAAATTCTGTGCTTGTCTTCTGCTTGCTGTACGTCTCAGGTTTCTGCTTCCCGCACAGCCAGGTCATGGTGCTGGCACACCCTCTGTCGCTCTGCTAATTAAACATGGCTTGCTGTGAGGACATTCCCTCACGTGGCACCTTCCAGACACTTCTATCAGTTCCCTTTCCCCACTGTGCAATCTCCCACTGTCTGTTTCTCTGTGTCTTTCCTTCAGCAGGGAACCTCCCCAGGCATGCCCTTGCTTCATAACTCCCCGAGACCCCTTTCCCTCACCCCTCCCCATGCCATCAGAGCCCCCTCTGCTGAGCTCTGCCTGCATCTCCACTAGCTGTTGTAGCGCAGCAACCCAGCAACCGTGAGTCACCACCATTCCTTTTCTTTCTCCCTTCCCTCTTCCATAATCTTCCCAGGGAGCTTTGCTTAACCAAATCTCTAAGTGGTAGAATTTTAGGAAGAGTTGACAAGATATTGAGGGCAGGGATGATGAGTGAGAAGATTAACCTGGACTTGTTCCTTAAATTTTATCCCAGTTTTCTCTCCCCAGGAGCAAGATTTGTTCTGGGAGCCTATATGAAGGACCAGTTCCCTTCCTTCAACAGGGAAACGTCTATAAAAACATTTTGAAGGCCCATAGACAGATGATTTCCAGTGAAATGACACATCCGTGAAAGCCACAGGGTAGAGGGAAATAGCTTTTTCCTCAGACTCCTCCTCCAGTGGAAGGAAGAGTCACAGTGAGGAAGGCTTACATTGATCTTGGCATCACAGTTCTAATCTTTTTGTCCCACTCAGGGGAATGTGACAAAAGCAGCACATAGATATAGGGCCTATCTCAAGTAGGCCCCAGGACCTCACCTCATTCCTATTCCTTCTTCCAGGTAATAGAGGAGATAGTGAAGAAGGTAGGGAGGTTCCCTTAGGGGAGACAGGGTCACCATATACAGCTGAAAAGAAGCCTCTGTCCCCTCCTCATTCCTATATCCCCTGTAACTCCTTCCCCATTAAAGCTTAGTTGCTTGCGATAAATTTAAAAAAATAAGTGACCCCCAGCATTCAAAAGTTGGCAGTACTAATATCTAACCTGTATAATGTTCTCATTAGACAATCTCACAGAACGTCAAATTTAGAAAGTTTACTCTCCAGCCACAATAAAATGAGACAAAGCAAGGCCACTTTTTAATTTTGTTTAAGCACAGAAAAAAACAAAGTCACTGTGCAACCCACAAAATACCAAACATCCCTCTCTCCTGCTAAATAAATGACTGCTCTCCCCTACTTATTCCTCTTTCCCCGTCACTCCTTCCCCGTAGAAGCTTAGTTGCTTGTGGTAAATTAAAAAGGAAAAAAAAAAAAGAGTAACCCCCCAGCATTTGAAAGCTGGCAGCACTCACAGCTAGGCCATATAATGCTCCCATTAGATAATTTCACAGAATGCTAACCTCAGACAGGTTTACTCTCAGGCCACAATAAAATGAGACAAAGCAAGGCCACTTTCTGATTTTGTCTAAGCACACACACACAAAAAAAAACCAAGGTCACTGTATAAGTCACAAAATACCAAATGTTCTCACTCTTACTAAATGAATGACTGCTATGCTATATTGAATGCACAAAATTGCTTCCTTTCCAGTCTTCTTAAAAATAAACTTAAGTTTTGATATATTAAAATGACTATTTCAGTATTACTTTTGCTAATGGTGAATTCATTATTATTCAGTGTGAAAGATTGCATTTTTTTGTGAAGCAAGAACATTTTGCATTTTTAAGAAAGGCAACCTGAGAGAGAATATGTTTGTCTTTGCAAAAAAGTATATACTTAGTCTTTTTCTGAAAGTATTATCCTCCTTTAGGACTTGAAATTTCTTGCAGCCAAGATCAACAGCTTTCTTGGAAAAGCACACAAAGTCTTAGGACCACATTTTGAATAAAATGTTCCCTCTGTCAACCTATTTTCAACCAAGCTCCCTAAAATAACATTAAGTTGATTTAAATCTTCAGATTTCCAATTAAAGTTTTTGAACTCAAAAAACAATCCAGTGATCTGTGAAATGTCAGTTAAGTCCTTTCAATGTCCATAATCAAGATTATAATTAAAACAGTCCCCTTCACCAAAATATGACCCGTGCCATTGACTAGGAGGGCTGGGATACTTGTCAGGGTGACCAGACAGAAACTAGGGCTGGGAGTGGAGGCCCAATGTCAGGCCTGAGGACCAGAGCAGTGTTTAAACAGGAGAGTTGGATCTGGATTCTCCAGATCCTAGATGTGAATGTCAGGGTATAAGACTGGAGCAGAAGGGCAAGCATTTGAGAGATCAAAGATTTTGGCCAGATCACATTGTCCTATCTGAGGTGAACACGGCTTAATTTCAAATTCTGCTTCAATCCTGCCAGGAATAACTTGGAAACTAGGGTTTACCTGTCTTTAAAAATGGCAGTCACCTCTCTGAACAGGTATGCATATTTTAGCAAGGTAAGAAATTTTAGAAAGGCGAAATGTGCGGGAATAGACTACAACCTGTTTGCAATGAGGAAAGGGTGAATTCCTAGTGGAAACAGAAGATTGGAAATTTCTATCTGAACTACCAATGCACAAAAGCTTTCACCTACAAATTCTGCTTCTATGCAATTCATTGCAGCATTGCTTGTCATTGTTTCAAAGAGTGGAAACAAACGTTCATCTTTAGGGGAAAAATTAAATAAAGCATGGCCTTCTATATAATGGAATACTATGCACCATTAAAAATAATAAGATAAT